TTCAAAAGCTAATATTATACTCTACCTGTTAATGTTAAAAAGATCTCAATGAGTCTTCTCCCTGAAAAGGATGGTGGACCCGAAGGCAAAAAGTATGTGCTTTTTCGAATAATTATTTCTCTTGAACGAAAAAAGCTAATGAAGTATAAAAGATTGTGATTGAAAGAACAAAACTATGAAAATATGTTTACATAGAAACATGATCATGCTTTTTCGTTCATTTTTGGTTTTAAAGTCTGTTGTACGGAAAAGTGCTATGTCGATCACTATAACAAAATCACTCATTGTGACATCACGGATGACTGTTATTGAAAACATTTAAAATAATTTTATTTTTTATTGTTTAAAGAAATTGAAAAATAATGAACAGTTTTGGATTAAAAATTATAGACCTGCCAATCTCAATTATAAAAAGTAGCTGACATTTGTAAAAATTTAGAAATTATGAAAGGAGATTACAAAATATATCTGGTAATTATATGTTAAATATAATCTATTTATTTAATATTATTAATTAATTTGATGTGTTGATTATACAGATAGAGATTAAGGATATTATGAAATATTATAACACACCAATTAATGTGCCATTTAAAAATCAAAATCCTGTATTAATTGGAAGAATTATTAATAGAGTATATATATTTTTTACTATTATTTATTATTTATGTTACATGATTTTTTTAATCTTATTATTATCTCTAGTTCAATGGTCGGAAACCTGGTGCTAAAGTAGATGCAATAATTGGCTATTGAAAGAGTTAATAAAAAAAACATTCAGCATCAGAGTAAGCAATTAAATATATTTTTATTATTTTAACTTTCCCACCCTAATAATTTTTTTTACAAATTAAGGGGATTATCAAAAATGAAAAAAACCTAACAAGACAAGTGGTAGTGGTAGTAGTGATAGTAATACTAGTGGTGGTAGTGATAGCAATCATACTAGTAGTAATAGCAGTAATAAAAACAAAGGTAAGATATAATTGAATGCTCATAATGAATATAATAATTATTTTTAATTTGACATTAATTAATATTAATTTATACTGCTAGATGATAATATTGTTGATGATGATTATGATGATGATGGAAATATCAATGATAATAATATGGGTAATGTATTTATTTATTTTTATTTATTTGTAAATAATTATAATAATAAAGGTATTATAGTCAACAAATTTAAGGACACAAAAATTGAGTTGTGCAAAAATTTAAATTTTTGTGGTAATGTGAATTTGATTACACCAAGATTTGTTGATTCATTTTATTTATTATTTACATTAATTATATTCATTAGAACAAACAAATTAACATAAGAATATTATTTATTATATTTTCTTCATTAGCAAGTATTTGTTATGTTGATGATGATCAAGATCAAGATGATGTTGATGATGACCAAGATCAAGATGATGTTAATATTGATGATGATGGCAATGATCAAAATGATGTTGCTAGAAGTAATAAAAATAGTGTTTATTTTTATTTGCTTAGTTATATAATTTATATTTTAATAGAATTTTAATTATATTATTAAATTTACATGGTATCTTTTTTTGTTTCAAATTAACAGATCAAATCAAAAATGGGAAAAAGAAAAAAAAAGTACTAAAGAAGATGGTGAAGATATTGGCAAAAGAAGTAAAACAATGTTTGCTTATATAATTTATATTTTAATAGAAGATAATAAGTTTCAATTGTGCTTCTAATTTTATTATTAAATTTACATGGTATTTTTTTTTTAAAATTAACAGGTCAAGTCAAAAAAGGCAAAGGAAAGGAAAGCACAAGAAAATCAAAAAAAAATTAATGTGATTTTTTTACAACTTTTAAATATGTATAATTTTTAATATAATTTTTTTTTCATTTAAATAATAATTATATCAATGTTGAATAAAAATAAAATCTTTTGAATATGTAATTAATTATATGATTCTCAGCACACTTTTCAGTGATTAAAATACATTTTAAATATGTAATTTCAGTATGGATTCAGCACTTTTTCAGTAATTAAAATACATTTTGAATACATAAATTCAGTATTGATTCAGCGCCTTTTCAGTAATTAAAATATGTTTTGAATATGTAAATTCAGTATGGATTCAGCACCTTTTCAATAATTAAAATATGTTTTGAATATGTAAATTCAGCACCTTTTCGGTAATTAAATACATTTTGAAAATGTAAATTCAGTATGTATTCAGCACCTTTTCAGTAATTAAAATACGTTTTGAATATGTAAATTCAATATGGATTCATCACCTTTTCAGTAATTAAAATACGTTTTGAATATGTAAATTCAGTATGGATTCAGCACCTTTTCAGTAATTAAAATATGTTTTGAATACGTAATTTCAGTATGGATTCAGCACCTTTTCAGTAATTAAAATACGTTTTGAATACGTAATTTCAGTATGGATTCAGTAACTAAAGTACAGTTACAAATAGATTTTTTAATGAATTTCAATTAGTAAATTTCCGTATTGGTTCCGTACCATTACGTACCGGTTCCGTACCAATTCCGTACCAATTCAGCACCATTTCAGTACTGTTTCAGTACGGAAAAGTACGGAAAAGTGTCCAATTCCGTACTTTTTGTACTATTTGAATTCCATATGTTTCATACTGTTTTATAACGTATATATTCAGTACCTTTTAGTTGTTTTTTTTTTTCATAGGGCAAAGAAATAGAAAGAAGCAGAAATTGTAGGAATCAAATCATGCACAAAAGATATTGGATGCTTGTAAAGGAGATAAAATTCCATCTAAATATGTATTGGATGATATCATCCTCCAAAATACTTTATTGAAGTTAAGTACCAAATCCTGATTGAAGCTCTGAATTAAAGTTGGTGTCTGTTTCTGTATCAGTTTTCACATTTTTTGCAACTGCAGATTTTAAAGCTTGAGTTGCAACCTTTTTTGCAACCCATCTGCAATCTTTGTAACACCTGTAACCAGTGTTGTCAGCAGACGCAGACATGGACACAGACTGTCCGGTCCATGTCCATGTCCATCACTTTAAATGTCCCAGACCATTCTTGGACAAAAATATAAATTTTTGCCTACTACCTCTCTCTTAAAACTTTGGTGAATCTGTAAACACTTTATGGTACAATTAACAAAGCAATAAAGCTCCTGTAGAGTTCCTTTTATTTGCTTTACTTTAGACTTTCTTTGGCCAATTGAAATCAGCTGCATGTTTGCAACAATTACTTTACAATAAAATAATTCAATATGTGATAATGACTTGTATAGGTGGTCAATTAACAAAAAATTAAACAAATACATTTACACTTAACAAAACCAAAAATTAAACCTTTGCTTTCTTACTTCCTCCTCTCCTAATTTTTCAATGCATGTTTACAAAGCGTTTTTGAATTGCTTTGGTTTAGTTTTATATTGTTTTAATAATATGTTGAGTTAATAAAGGTGGTAAAGGCATTTTCTCATGTTTAACTTGTGGTTTGTACTACTGGTCCAGGACATTTAAGAAAATGAGCAGACATGTCCACATGACAAATTGTTGCACAGACATTTTTGGACAGTGTCCATGTCCGCTCAATATTAGGCAGACATGTCCCATGTACAACACTGCCTGTAACTGTCCGCAACTATAATTATGATGACTTAGTATCAAAAGTGGAAATCACATAACTACAAAATGATATTGATTCAGCTTTAAAAAATAATTACTATTAGACAGATAATACTTGATAAGTCAGATTTGGACAAAAATTTTCAGCCCTTTTTTTATATATATATTTTAAAAATTTCTTGATAAGTTGGACACATATATAAACTCTTGTTAAGCTGTAAGTCAGACAACTCCTCCAGCCAGATAATAAATAAATGACTCTCAATACAGTCTAACCTCGCCACAGCGGATTTCGTCACAGCGGATTTCTTGTCACAACGGATTTAAGTATTGGCCCCTTTTTTTATTAATTAAAAAATATTTGTCACAACGGATTTTATTAATAAACTTGCAGTCACAGGACATTTCCCGCCGATCTATAGGAGGTTGTAAAACATAGTAAAATTTGGGTGATCTGCATCATAGTAAAATTCGAATTTACATAGTAAAATTTTATAATCGAATGTCTTCACACCCTCGTTTGATACCCTTGCTGTGTAGCAACCACCACCAAATTTGAGATATAACTTCTTTATCATATGTATCTGCTTTAAGAAAATTTATAAAGCAGGTTGTTGATAAAACCGAAAATAATCTGACCCTCAAAGTCAAATTTTGCCTTTATATTCATATATGTAGAAATTTGTTTAACGCGTCCAATTGCAAGCAAAAGTAGAAATACATGTTCACCTAGCTAGGTATGTAAATTATTTATTTTAAAAATAAATACAATAAATGAATAGATATTAAAATTTTTCTTTACATTTATTCCTACATAAATTATAATGATTAGAATAATTAGATAATATGAACAAGCAGAGAAATGTAAAAAGACATTTAATATATTATCAAAACGCGTCAACGAATTGTGATTTAAAATCAATATTAAATAACATCGCTACATATTAACTATAAATAATTCTGGAATGTGATGTGCAATAGAATTCAGGCTTTCTTTTGAATCTAAGATCACTCAATTCAATCAAGTACTTAGTGAGATACAAAAATATATGGTAATAGGTAAATATAAAGAACTATTGCGTTTTTTTTTAATTTTGAAAAATCTATTAATATTAAATACTTATATGGATGGCATTTTCATTTTTACATCAAATAAGCATCAAACCCCCCTATTATACAACTATTGAATGCTTGATAAAACATTAATCAATTTTATTTTACAAAACTTTGTTTTCCAAGCTTACCTAGTGTTGGTTAATAATAAGTTTTGCAAAAAAACAGTTTTATAAACCCAAGTATATCGAAGAAAGAAATGGTAATATAATAAGAATGTAATGATTAAATTAAAAGATATTTATTTATTAGTGATTTTGATTTTATTCATTTAATTACATATCAAATATATAAGTTGAAAAATTTTTTTTAAGTCTCATTAATGATTATTATTATTATTGCAATGTTTTTATTTTTTATATTAAAAGATCAATTTCTATTTTCCACATCTCAAATTCTTTAATAAATATCCTTTTGATTCAACTAAAATGGCGAGTTTTGGATTAACTATTACCACCACCATAAAATCAGCCTTATGAATGGATATATTTATGTCTAAGAAAGCTAAAGGTAATAAAGGTAATAATAATAATTAATGGGTTAAAAGACTTACTACATTAATAAACAAATGTATTTAATACAAATCAGTAAATAATTATATTGTTTTTTTTTTGTTATATGAGTCAAATCTAAAGTATAAGAATATATAACAATAATTTAACAAACACACGTAAGCATAAATCAGAGCAGAAGGTCATCCTAATAGGGTGGCATTTTCATTTCAGTCAGTTCAGTATTTTATTAATTAATCAAAATTTAGGAATTTTAACATGAGTGGTTGATATTTTAAATTATTGACAATTTTTAAAGTCTGCATAATAACAATATGTGATTTGTGAGTATGATGAATGTTAGGACTTTGGCTTTCAAATGAGTACAAGATCATTAACTTAATCCAACAATTGTCAGAATTACAAATTTTGGATGCAAATCAACTCAAAAGTTAAGTAACCTATTACTATTTAAATGGAAATTGTATCATAAGAATAACAAATCTAACAGTTTTATTTTCAATGAATAGGAAAACCATTGTTACAAT